GCTTACCCAAAACCACTGAAAGAATGTGTAGAAATATATTAAAAATATCAAATGTTTTTACGATAGTTCTGGGATGGTTTTAAATCCTGCTGTCAGTAACGTAGCCTATATTGTTTGGATAATGACAGGTATTCTTTCTCAAACTTGTGCCATAAATCTATATGACATTACCTGCAGACTCTAAGTCCAATGACCCCTTTTTCCTAATATCTAAGCATGAATTCGCAAGGGGAGTCCTGAAGTACTCCACCGGAAATTTAATTAGAGCAGACACACTCCAACAATTTATGCACTAGGAGCTCAGGAAAACTGAGATCCTGTGAAACCACTGCAGGCAGGTTTCTCCCCCCTACAGCATCTACCAGCCAAACCTCAGCACTGCCTGTCCCTTGGCATGCACAGACACACACGGGTGGTGGCAGGTCCCTGGTCACCCTGCTCAGCTGCAGCATCACGCCTCCTGCCACCCTCAGGGCACTAAATCAACCCTCCCACACGGCCCGAGGCCATGGGCCCAGGTAGCTGCTGCTCACACAAGCCAAGGCACACAGCTCATTCCAACACTGCCAGGGGTTCTCCTGTGACAGCAGAAGTGATGGCCTGAGGCAGAGAAGGAGGGGAGTAAGGGACAGAAGAGGCTGCCCATTTATAGGAGAAGGAATCTGTGTGAGAAATGACTGGACACATGCATGGACAGGTGTGTAGAAGTACAAGGCTCAGGCTTTCCTCACAGCATAAACAGCATATTTTAATCAGCAAAACTCACACTGACCTACAGCATCTCTCTGTGGGTCATCCTGCTTTGATTGCAAGAATTCAAGGAATAGCAAGTTCCAGAGATTGCTTGAGCAATCAACAAAAGCATCTTTCCACTTGTTAGGATAGGACTGTGGGGTAAACATTGTTTGCTCACAGCTTTCTCATTCCCAGCCCAGTAGTACAGCAGCCACAGCCACTGCTGCGCTGGGGAACCAGAGAAAACATGACTCCCTGTTCCTTTTAACATACAGCTGCTCCAGCCAGCATCCCTGCTGAACAGGGAGCCCTGATGGCTACAAACAACAGCTCCTACAGCAAAGATGGCTGATTTCATTATGATGCTAAAAAGCATCATCTCAGAAGAAACTGGTGTCTAAACTACCCCAAGAGTTAGTTAAGAATTATTTCTGCAGTGAGTGCAAAATACTGCTTTAACTCTTCCAGGTCTGTGGGTAAATCCTGGACAATGAAACAAGAGAGATTGCCATATGATCTTCTGCCGGCCAGAGTGCTGTCCAAACCATATGGGGCATTTCTGATCCATGAAGTTTTTCTGAGATGCATCATGGTTCAGTCTGTACTGTACCTCATGCTTAAATATACTCTAAAACAGGTCAATCATTTACCTTGCAATCACCTGCATTTTTTAAGTTTCATTGCTCTTTTTGGGGTTAGCAATCCTTTACAGCCATTTCCAAAACAGCATGCCCATCTGCCTTTTTGAGAACTAGGTAATCAGACATGCTTCCAGACTTTAAAACACAGTATAAACCCTACAGCTTCAGCAACTGTTCTGCTATTTTGTTGTTACACAGGTAGGCTGCTGTGACTGCAGCAGTGAAGCTCCAGATGACAATTCCTGCTGAATCAGCCTATATCTACACAAAAATAAGCTCAGTCCAACTCAACCATAGGTGCATATAATCCCTGCTGGCCAAAAAAGCCCAGCCTCCTGGCCTCTCTGGAAAGCTGGCTCTGAACAAGCATTTAGAAGCTGGCAGCTCTCCTTGTGTCACGCTCCTGGCCCAGGTCTTTTTTCCACCCTGCCCTTTTTATTCTCCCATTACCCTTGCACTGACCTGACGCACTCTCTTTGTGCTCGGGTGCTGAGCCAGTGGGACCTGCTCACTTGGCGCCACTAATTAAGCTCAACAACAACATTTTTTCAGTGGTTCTGTCCCAACACATTTAGTTGGGATTTTAAATTCTTTAGATTTCATTCAGTCCATGTGCATGGTGGTGTCACAAGGCTCTTGGCCTGGCTCGGCTGGTCCCAGCCCTGGAAGGGCTCCAGCACCCTTGACACAGTGCACATAAGCTTGGAGGCAGGAGCAGGAGAGAATGGTCTGAACAAAACAGTCACCCAAATAAGGAGCTACCATCACTCCCTCTCCTTTTAACACGCAGCTGCCCCAGCCAGCATCCTTGCTGATGTCAGCCTGAACATGAGCTCTGATGGCTACAAACACCAGCTCCTACAGCAAAGATGGCTGATTTTGTTATGAAGCTAAAGAGCATCATCTCAGAAAAAACTGTGGTCTAATTACCCCATGAGTTAGTTAAGAATTAGTTCTGCAGTTGAGGGAAAAATACTGATTTAGCTCTTCCAGGTCACTGGGTAAATCCTGGATAATGAAACAAAAGAGATCTCCATATGATCTTCTGTCCACCAAAGTGCTGTCCAAACTACATGAAGTTTTTCTGAGCCACATCACGGTTCTGTCTGTACTCAATGTCCTATGCTTAAACATGCTCTAGAACAGTTCAATCATTTACCTTGCAATCACTTGCAGTTTTTAAGTTTCATATTGGCTTTTTATTTTCTCTCTTTGCTCCTCTTACCTGCTCATGTCCCTTCAAGGAATACCAACAAACAGGCTGATGGAAAATAAATATAAAATGTGGCACAAGAGTAAGTTCCAGGATATGGAAAGAAAATGTTGCAGTCAAGTCCAAAGAAAAAGATGCAGACAATGGAGGTGCTATCCTAAATACATGAGTGAGGAGCTTAAAACCAAATGCAAGGGAAAGCAGGATTTTAACAGGATTCAAGGCTGAGGAAAAACATTAGAGAAACAGCTTGACAGCAGCACCTAAAATGAGCAGAAGAAAGTGTACAAAGGAGGGAGATAAAAGATAGCAGTCATCAGTGGAAGACGGACTGCCAGGGCTTACTTTCTTACACCAATGTGAACAGAAAGCTGTGCTACTCACTTGGTTCTACTGCATCATTTTTTAAACAATGCACTGCCTTTCGAGCTCTGCAGATCTTCATGCAACATGTGGCAGAGCCAAGACATCTTTTGCTCCACTAGAAGAAGACTGACAAAACATCTCTGCTATATGATCCACAGGAGAGATATCGGCATTCCCAGAGAATTTTATCTAATAAATCTTTTAGGTATTTGAAGGGGTCTTTAATTTTATTGTTTAGCTGGAACTCAGTACAATTGCAAGGATTGGTTCCTATCCAGTCCTAGACACATGAGCACCTCCCTGCTTTTTTTTTTTTTACCAGCTTTGACAAAATGAAGCCAATTTGTTCTTTAGTTTTGCAATTATATGACTTCAGCTTAAGAAGATGTTTTGGAATAAACAGCATTTAATAAAAACATGTCTCCTGGCAAATTTGATAGGCTCACCAACAGAACTAGGGATCTGAAAAACACTAAAAGCATATGACTTTTTAGGAAAGGATATTGCTGCAGTAACAAGCTAGTCCAAATGCAAAATTCTAAGGGAATTAGGCTGTAAGATGCAACAACACATGCAGCACAGAGTCTGAACTCCTGTCAACACCAAATCTGATTTCTGAACTAACTGCATCCTCACAGATCACTTCTAACAACACTGACTACCCTTTCCTCCTACATAACATGCAAGTGATGCTTGCATAAACATGTGAGTCCTTGAGGAGTATGCATGAGCATCACCTGCAGGGAATAAAGGAGCTGTGACACCTGCTGAGGTAGGCTGCGAACTTTCTGCATATACCCTGGTAATTCCCAGGATACATTACAAGAAATATCAGCAATCCTTGTCCTTATCCCTGTGTTCCCTTCAGCACTCACTTCTGGCCACTTGCAGAGCTTGAATAATGACTCCCATGGGTCTTTGTTCTTGGCCAGTATGCTCAGAGCAAAGGTCTTTAACAACAGAGACCATCTGAGAGGAAAGAAAGCTACACCACTGCCCTCTGATCCAGAGGATGAGGGGCCTCTGGACTCCTTCCCAGATCCAGATCCCTGTGGATACCAAGGAAGTACAAAATGCTCTTCAGAAAGCTCTGGTCTGAATTCCCAGGATGTGTGATGGACGGGGAGCAAAGAAACATGTTTGTAAGTGTTTTCGTGATGAGTTACGAGTTAAATTAAGAGGCTGACAAAAGCAAGAAGCAGTAAGTGTTGTCCTTGTAGAGTGGGACAGGGTTTGCCCAGAAGGCTAAGGAGGACTGAAAGGAGGATGAAAATGATGAACGCTGTAAAGTCCTGCTGAAAACATTGAAACCAACACCATCAGGGCATGGATGACACAGCAGGGGTCCAGCAGGAAGAGGACTCACTCAGTACAGCCCCAGCCACAACCCAAATAAGGACAGCTGCTCCAACAAGCCACTTGAGAGAATTCCTCAGGGGACCTTCTATACTGGAAAAAGCATCTGTTAAATACCAAATGGATTGCTCCAGGTCTAGGGAAGAGGCAGCCCAGCCAAATCCTAAAGGCAAAATACACAATGTTCCCAGTGGCACAGCAAAACCACCCAAACTGCTCTTCAGCCACATGACACCAAGATGGTGAGGTGTTGTGTGACAAGAAATGAAATTCATCTAATGGCAAAAGTAGTCTAAAACCTCTCATCTACTGAAAGTTTCTGACTTCACAGTTAATATAGGCTTCAAATTCTGCAGGGCTGGGATTGTCCTATTTGCCTTTACAGTGGTTGGCATGTTGGGTGGAGTCTTAATGCCTCCAAGATTGCCAAAATTAAATGTAAATTAAATTAATTACTTCACAGTTATTTAGCAGCAAATAAAAGAGATTTTATCCTTGAGAAGAAAAGAAACCATAGACTAGACTAAGCAGTGCAATTCCTGTAAAGCACCGAGGATACTGATGATACACAGCCCTGATGATCATCTACCTGCAGAAATGAATGTGCTTTCCAACCAGCAAAGCTGGTAAACCTTGCTCCACGTACTTGAACTGTAAAACTGCTGGTTTGTGAGATCTCATCCTCTTACCTGACATCATTGCCTCCATGGGCAAAGGATCCAAAGCAGGCTGTTAAGATCTGGAGGAAGTGGAAAAGTAGATGGACCTGAGAGGTGTCTTTCTCTTCCTTATCCTCTTCCACAGGATCAACAGGGGGCCGGTTAGGATCCGCGAGTTCAGAGGCCAACTTCATTTCCACCCCACCTTCCTCTGCCTCAATCTCCGCCTCCGCCACTGCGTTGCAATAGCTGGAGTAGCTGTCATAGCGCACTCGCTTCTTGGAGTAGGAAACAGTGTCTCCCACCAACTTCTCACTGTCTTCTGGAGTAGATGTATCCGCTGCCTTAAAGGAGGAATGCACGGGCATGCCACAAATAGCAGCAGTGTAACAGGTGTAGCTGTTGTTGCGCCTTAAGAGTTTGTAGTTGTTTTCTGCAGTGGGCCTCTCATCGTTGGCCCTGTCCAGGTGTATTTTGTGGAGCAAGTCTTTGTATAAACCTGAGTCCTTGTGCACAGTGTGGTAAACGTGGCCATCGCTCCTCACGTGGCCATCGAAGCTGAAGGTGCCATTGGAAACAGGTGATTTCACCGAGGTGTGCGTCACCGAAAATGCCCTTCCTAAAAAGGCAGAGATTTAGAGGTTTTGTTTACACAAAATGCAATTCAAAAAGCCCCCTTCCTCCAATACAAGACAATAATATGGCCAGCATCTGAGAAGACAGGACAAAGAAGATCAATTTGCACTACATGCAGTGAATAAGCCAAGATTCGCTTCACTGCAAAATACAGTCTCTCATCTTCTGTGTAAAAAGAGCTTTGTTCCAGTGCTGAGTCTCCCCAGACATGCTGTATGACCTGCAGCAAGTCACATGGGATAAGCTATTTGAATGTGATACTTAATGGTTAAATCCTCAGTTCTTTGAAATATAAATTTCCATAAAATTCCTTTCTTGTAAAGCAAGCTCTACTTCTTCTGAGCTTTTGTCTACGCTGAATAGGAATAATTAGGATTTCTGAAATGTGGTTTACTGCAATTTCATACTGGAACTTATCTGTTTAAGAGACATTTAATTAATACTAATTTGTTTAGGAGACATTTATATAGCTTTTAAAAATAATTTCAAAAAAACAAATTAAAAAATTCATGTTCTGCAGAAGTATTTCCTTAGCTATTGCAACATTTTCTATATACTAGTTCTATGAACATGTTGATTTATATTCCCACTGTATACATTTAATGTTAGCATACACTGCAGGACACACATAAAAATGTAACACAGGTAATGTTTCTGAAGAAACTGTCTTTTTCATTTCCTGACTTCCTGGATTTTCACTGTGCAACATTCAGAACTGGGTTTAGCTATTTTTAAGCTAGAAGCACACACTCTAAGGGCTCCATGTCATGACTTATTTGATTTTATAAGAATCAGTTGAATATATTAGGCATTTATTAACCAAATTACAGGGCTTTGTAGATGTTAGCAAAGCGATATCAAAGTCAGCAGACCGCTAAGTGGAGGGGGGTGTTCCTACCACACAGCAGAACAGAAAGAGCTTTATGCACAAGTCAACTTCTTACAAATATATGTGCAGAAAACAATGTGTGAGATTTTTCTAGTGGATACGCTCCAAATGGTCATACATTTATCAACCAAAGTCCAAATCTTTTCATCTCCTGTTGTAGTATGCTAATCATCTTTATGCTGAATTTAACCTTCATACATCAGCAATCTGTGTGCTCTGTATTTTTCCACTGCTTGATAGGATGGAAACACCATTAAGAATACAAAGTAAAGCAACAAAAAAAGGCAAGTCATTTTTTTCAGCTGTTTCTAAAACTGAAATACAGCCAAACAAAATGTAATTGATTTTACGTCCTCTCCAGAAAATGTCACTTGTAAATGAGCATCTTTCCAAACAAGCACTGAAAAGGGATTAGAGATGGAAATTCCAAACCTCTATTTACTATTTACTGCAGAGACCTTCTTGCAGTTAAGAAACCTCATTGAAACAGGAAGAGAAGAAACCCACTATGTTGTGTTAGCTCCTTACCATAGGGGACACGTGGATGGTTTCCATTTGCAATATTATCTGATGCCCCAGCAGCTTCTGTTACTGAGCCAGTAAGGGGAATAGTGCTCTCATCAGATGCTTTGGCACCAGGAAGCTCTTTGAAGACTGGTGTTTCTTCATCCTGAATTTTATCAAGACTTTCATCTGATATCCTTGACAGTGCAGCATCTTTCTTTAACCGGCCTAAGGAAAGAATAGTACTGTAACTTTAAACCCAACTTATATCTCTTGTTACTTAAGTTTCCACTGTTTGCATCAACAGCATGGTTTAACTTGGCTACGATAACCAAGCTTTGTTTCATACACACCCTATTTATTTACACACTCTACTATGTTCATGTGTGAAAATTCTAGAACATCTCTGCTTCTTCCGATAAAATTCACCAAAGTGGGATACTAAAGAAAAACACCAAGCTGTTCATCTATTAATGAAACCTGAAACTTTTCTCTGCATTTGTTGAGAGTAGCAAAGCAACTAAAGCTGTGATCAGCCCAATTTGCTGTAAAGCTAAACAGTCACTTAAAGATGATCATTCTGACAGGTTTTTTCTCAAACTTTTTCTTAATAAAAAAAGAAACCAGATTATATTCTAGGTTTTATTTTCCTGTTTCTGCTAAGGCTTCAGAACTTAGCACTACAATGGCTTGCCTAAGAAGTTTTTGAATTCCTACCACTGCAGCTCTTTCAGAACAAATTACACAAATACATAAGGAATAGTTTAGGCATATCCTGCCTGTGGGTGGGGACTGGACTAGGTGACCTCTCAAGGGCAATTCCACCTCTGAAATGTAATATTCCATGATTTTATGTCACTCACATTTCATCAAATAATACTTACTTTCTATTTTTCTCTTCATCCAAGGACACACAAAAATCCAGACTAAGACAGCAAATACTAAGGACACACCAATTGATATTAGAGCAATGGCCCACATTGGCAGTATCAGTCCCAGTACTGTAAAGACAAAGAAATAAAACCAAAGCAAGCCATTAATTAACATGATTTAATTATCCCAGGCAGTGGAAGAGCAGTCTGCTGCAGAAAAGCCAGTGTTCACAGTGTACCCAAAGCCAACATGAAGGAGCTGATGACTTTTAACACATCACCAGTTACTGCAGTATTTAAAGGTATAGTTGACATGGAAACATTGGCAGGTTTAGTCTTCCAGTTTCCTGCTGCCCCACTGTGACGTTATTTCCCAAAGAGCCGAGGGTAAAAGCCCCACATCAGGGCTGCTAAAACAAGTTTGCAGTGCTTTTATAAATGAATGCACATTAAACGACGTTGCCCATTAGGGTTAAGTGTTTACCTGACCTTTGCTCTGGTCCATAAAGCCTGATGCTTAGCTTGCTCTAAGCCCTTATTTGCTTGCAATATGAGCTTAATGCTCATAAAGCATTAAGCTTCGTCCTGCAATGCACAGCGACATCAACAACTCTTGTTTCTGTAATTATTCCCCCAACACAGATCCTTGTACTTGTTCAATGAAACAATCAATGAAGAAAGAGCTTGGACTCTGGTCTTTCAAACCCATATATACATTGCCTATCTTAAAACCTACATTATTAATTCATCCTTGTGAGTAAATGTTGCCAGAGCAGAAGCCTTGGAGAGTAAATATGTTTTTTCCCAGTATCAAAAATGGAGTCCCACCTTTTTATTCACACACTTTAGAGATTGCTAAGCTGAAACAGAGGGAACATTAAGATTCTTATTTCATTTCATTTATTTTGCTTAATGAGTCACTGCAGAGTGACTGACCTACTTCTGCAGTACAACTAATGAGGAAAAATGTGAATTATACTGCTGATTTACTGTTAAACATCTTCGATACATAGCCAATCAGTCTTAAGAGGAATAGCAATGTTACCTTCAAATTGGAAATTTCTCAAGTTTTTGTGAATTCCAGTAATGGTATGCTATGGAGTAGGTTATACCAACTGCAATTATCTAGTACATCTAGTGTGTTGAATTTTAGAGAAATATTTCCAATCAAAAAGGTCACTTTCTAAGCCTGCTTTCGCAATTCAAGGCCGTGTTCAGGAGTCTATCTTCAATTGTCTCTTCACTCATAGTTCTTGGGCAATAATCTAACCTAAAGATAACATTTAATGACCAGAGTCTTCAACGAAGTAGTTGAGAACACTGAAAATCTTTGTTCTGAACTCTTTTGCTAGAAGTGTGTGTTTAAATATTCACCACTTCAGTAAACTATACAAATATAAATGCAAATACATAAATATAAAATGTGAGAACATAAATATACAAACATAAACACATCAGTATAAAAATTCAACTAATATAAAAATAAAAATTCAGATATAAATATAGATATAAATAAACACAAACATGTAAGTGCACATAAAATATACAAATATAGAAAAACATAAATAAAGTCCTTCAACTTCATTTCCTTCTCCTGAGTTGCAATTGAAACAGAACACCAAAGAATGAAGATGCATTCAATGAAGAAACAGGTTTGGGGATTCTTATTGTTAAAGGGAAATAAGGAAGTAAATTTAAATAATAGTCTTGGAGCCAGACGTGCCAGAACAGCAACTCTGCTGATGTCAGTGGAGTGAAGGTATTACACTGAGAGCAAACAGAACCTGCTCTCCCACCCTCCTCTGAACCTTCACTCCTTGATGCACAAACCTAGAGTACTTTGAGAGCTCAACACGTGCTCACATTTACAATGCCAAAGCTGCAGCTCAGTAACTTCCCTTCCTCTAAAGAGGTATTTTTTTTTGTAGCTGTGCTCTTCTCCACTAACCAGAGCAATCAGGAGGGTGTCACAAAAACACACGCACACACAGAAGCACGTGGGGAGGCGAATGATTTACTCTTGCCCTCTTTAACTCCTAACCCAGGAGATAACCCTGTGATGTCTGGGTGACACTGGCAGAGCATCCTACACACTGTAGGAAGCCCCCTCCCGTGCCTCCCCAGCTCACTCACCTGGTGCCCCAGTGTACATGATGGAGAACACATTAATAGCTATAGTAGCAGCATAAAACACCGGGAGTGCGCGGAGGCCATTGGGCACAGGGTCTTCCTGCAGAGAAACCATGAAAAAAGGGAAATGTTAGCTGGATGTCACACCAGATTTTTCATGTCAGCATGAACCTCCATGAGGAAAACACGTGCTCCTGAGTCAGTACCAGGCAGATGGAGCTTTTGGATGTTGAGGAAAGGATGGCCTGCTTGGTTACACCCAAGTTCACAATGCTGGTCCTGGCAAGTACCAGCACTCTGGGGGAGCTTGACACTGTCAGTGGGAACCAGGGACTTACGTTATACTTTCCAGTCAGCTGCTGAGTGACCTGGGGGCAGGTTTCTTTCTGCAGGTGTGTTCTCACTTATTTTGTGTCCAAGATAAGGAGTCCCTTTAACTTAGCACAACTGAAGGGTGCCAAGCAGGAGAGGGCTTTGATGTTTTGGACCGTGCTACAAGCAGCAGTGCAAGGCATCCATCTCAAAACCATATTCCTAAGCTCTCTCTTTCGACTGAGACAGCCTGGCACTTCCTACCAGCTAACAGAAATCTCTAAAATCCCAAGTGTCTGGCTGTATTAAGCAGGTGACACACACAAAGTGAGTAGGCAATGTTTAGCCCAGCACTGTGTCTGCTGCCCACTGCGCTCTCATGCTCTTGGCACTCACAAGGAAAGACTCAGCTGAGGGTGCAGCGGAAACTCACCGTGTGAACCACGGACAAAGCCTTTGTGAGGGACTGCTTTGGCCTTTTGAGGGGCTCCATTTGTTTGCAAAGAGCCTGGCAAAGCTGAGGGCTGGCTAATGTGGTTTCATTTCTTGCCGCCATCAGCTATAAAAGGGAGCTGAGAAAAGGCTGTGGTCACCCTGTGCTATGCCCAGTGCCCAAGCAGGATGCAGATGGGCTGTATTTGCAGCTGGGCCAGCTGCTATTCACAGACATCTCCAACAAGGGCAAGGAGCCCTATAACAGGCCACAGACTCACAAGCTAGAAAGCTGCTCTTTTTTTAATGCATGCACACAAGTCACTACCCACTTATGTCAGAACCTCTACAGATCTTACTGCTTTGTGAATGGCACAGATGGCAGTTGGGAGGGAATTTCCTTAACTTGAATTTTTCTGCCTCTTGAATGCTTAAATATATGGCCTTAATACCAGCGTTCACATGATTTTGATGGCTAATTTCTTAAGTTGCTAGGCTTTAAATACAATAGTGGAACCTTTCCTTACCTTTCTTGCAACTTGAGTTATCTTTTATTCAAAGCTGAATCTGATCAAATCTATCATCTGTTTTTATCACTGACATTTATTTAGAGCAGAAATAAAGAACGATGAAGCTGAGGTTACAGGTGGTGCTATTTATAGCAAAGAATTAATCCCTCATCTATTTAAGTTCCCTGTATAACTGCTAATATAGTGTCCCTTATTTTAGGTCACTGTCATGCACTTCACTTCCCCATTTTAGCAAGTTGAATGGTGTGAGAGAAATGGAAAAGGCAGTTCAGGTTTCCAGACCATGCTGGGTGGCAGGCAAGTAATCTTTTGCACTGGAGATACATGGACCGATGTTACCTCAGGTCACTAAAACCCATTGATTCAGGTTTCTTGAGAATCTATGAAATAGGCAGATGCTCATCTTCTAATGTCTGATGTGCTGGAAAACCAAGGCTTAAAATTTCACGACTTTAAAATACCAATTAGAGTATCTCCAAGGAAGGACTGTTCTGTTTAAAACACAGTCAGAACAGCAATTGTGAGGCTAAGTCAATGCCAGCAAGCTTGTACTAATACAGAAACAGCCTCAATGTACCAAATAGAATATACAATATTAATTATCACATAGCACCTTCTAAGCCTCAAATGCTTGAGTCAAATTATACACTGTGAGCTTTCAGAACTGCTAAGAGCAAGTATAACTCAAATGGCTATTTAAAAAAATGACTGGTCTCCTTTCCAAAAAGAAGTCATAAACTTTCAGCTGTGGAAATGCCAGCACTCAAATGGGAGGCTAAAACACAACCTTCATACTAAGCACTCATTACAATAGTGAGATTTCTTTACCTTGTTTAAAATGAAGAATCTGATCAGCACAAATAGGATTCCAGACATCAAGCCAGATAACAGTGGGGAAATAAACCAAGAGGCAACTGTGTTGAAGAAAGAATGAAACTTGAAATAAACAGAATTCTTGCATAATAGTTAAGTACATTGTTAATGAGCAATAAATTTAAAACAGTTCTTGTACAATTGGAATGAATGTTCTGTATGTTTACTTACAACTGGTGCAGCTCAACATCCACCAACACTCATGAAAGTCACAGTAATGCTAAGCACCATTAGAAACAACAGCCAAAGCATTTCCTGCTAATTTTGCAAGTTTAGCAATCAAACTCATCAGGAAAGTTTCTTGTAGTTTGAATCAAGAGTAGTCCAAGAAAGTGCTGTAATTTCCTAATCATCATGACCAGGAATGTTGCAAGCAAGTGGAAAGCAACTGCATCTAGCAGGATGATATGATGCTACCAGGGTAACAGTCTCAAGTTCCAAAATGCCACAGAAGCATCAACTGTAATATATGATTTGTGTGCATTTTTTGCAGGCCAGCACTGCAAGTGTCCAGGACTGATTTAACTGATTTAGTAGGTGGCAAAGCTCCCACTGATTTCAGTAAAACCGGATTAGGGCAGCACTCTGGAAATCTCATCCACAGTGATTTATTGTTTGCAGCATGGTTAACAGATGGATTCTGCTGTCACTGAAAACTCTTTTACTATTGACAGAATTTTAAAAAATACATGCATTGCTAAAGTTCTAATATATTACCATGCCTGCAGCATAAAATCCTTTTAATAGAGACTTTAGGCTGCACCTTGAGTTCCAAAGGCTTCCAAAACAATAACAAAACACTCCACCATGTCCCTGCTTGGATGTGCCACTGTTCTTGGCAATGGGAGGCTGTGAGTTAAATGTGCTGTGTGCCCTGAAGGTGGTGGGTGGAGAAACATGACTGTGGGCATTCACATGATAGCATTCATATTGTTGAGAGCAAGAACAGGGTAGTATGAGCTGCCACAAGGAGAATTAGAAGAGGAGGAATGTCACCTTGAAGCATGTTTCTTGAGGGACAATGTCTCCCCAGCTTACCTGGGGAAGCTTACCTACTTCCCACTGGGCAAGTACAACTTCTGTCTTACCCCTTTCTCCACTGGAGACACAATGCAGCCCTTAATTAACATGGCACCAGTGCATTTTCTGAATGACATGACTGGGGTGGAAAATAAATTAATGAGGGAGTGCTATCAGCACAAAGCAGATCTCTAGGAATGTTTTTTGCAGGCAGCACACACTATTTCACATATCCTCATACATTAAAGGAGAAAGCACTTACCAATCTTGACAAGCTGCATCCACTGGACACCCTGTGTACCAATTGCCACCAGAGAAAATCCAATCGTAGCACCTACAATGCAATGGGTCCCTGATATTGGGAGTTTCAAGAATGATGCAATTAGCTGCCAAACAGCAGAACCTAGAAACAAATGAACCATATGGTAAAAACAACAACAACAACAATAATGTAACACAGAAAATTCTTTGCCATGTGCCCACATTCTTTTACAAGTGCTGCCTACACTTCCCACACATAAGAGAGATCTTCTAAAGAGGGTTTTGTTCCTGTTCTGTCTCTAAAAGCAGATACTAAGACAGTTTAATAGCAGCTTTGAATGCTACATCTTACTTGTGACTGTTTATGACTAAGGGTGCCCTACAATTCATGACAGTTCTGCTTTCAGTATTCCCAGCCTGTCTGAGTAAGTACACAAACTGCTCCCAGTGCACATCAAGCTTAGAAAACCTCATTCTTGATAGCTGACTCTGGAATCCTACAGGTGATCAGCGTGAGGAGACAGTCACCATTTCACTAGTGAACTACCCATGCTCATAAACTTGGATACTACTAGAGAAAGGTTAAAATTGTGGGACAGAGATATTTTTTTGCTTCATCTCAGTGATACACAGCCATCCAGTCCTCTATAGGAAAAATGGACTGAGGAAAGAATAAGGACTCTCTCACCGCCTTCATCTGCAGCTCATTGCTGCAGAGAAATTGAAGAAGGATTCAAGGAGAAATTCAAGACTGCTGAAAAGGCTAATGTTAGTCATGAAGAAGCCAAGGATACCCTGGCATAAGGAAATAAGTTCCCCATACTAACTAAGGGACAGTGGGTAATGGTCTATAAAGTAAACGCAACATCTGGCATTTCAACCAGACATCCAGGAAGGAGGCTGCCAAGAGTGCAGGGGGAAAAAAAGTACCCCAAGCACCTCTTTCAGGAGTTAAATCAGACACAGTTGGCCACCAAGCTCTTGTGCATGCAGCTCCATGCTCTGACTCCTTTTCACTTTGCAAAGCCACAAGATCCCTGCTCCTCTTGCAGTAGCACTAACCTCAGGACACCAAAATACTTTTGAGAGTGACACAAGCTTTCTGTGGGCCTCCCCTAATAATTAGAGAATTGTTACAAAGATCTCTTCTTCATTGTAATACTTCATGGCCTTAAGACTAAATCTTCATTTATTGAGTTACCAGTGGCAGCAATCAAAATGCCATAAGAAATCCTGAATTTTCCGGCTCATGCCACCTCCCTTAACAGATCTGCAGCAGATACGGGTGATAAAGCAAGGTCACTGAACATATGCTGGCAGACTATCCAAAGTTTCAGCCTCCATCCTCAATTCCAACATAAGAAGATGGTTTGAAGGTCTTGAAACAGAACCATCTGCAAACGGTGATTTGCTGGTATCATTATCTGGCTGCATTTGGAAGTCAATCAGTTTGTAAAACTGATCTCTCCTGGCATACTATCCCAAAACAACTGTTACTTCTCTTGCTAGTGGAAATTCTAGATCAATCGAGGAACACCTGCTCTTTAATTTTTTGGCTTCTTTTCCCCTAGACTAAAATAAAAATAAAAACACTTTGAAACCTTTGACATGAACTTAGAGACCAGCAAATGGAAGTGATGAGAAGGAGAAATCAGATGGTTACATCTGAAAGAAGCCAAATAAAAGGTTAAGCTACCCATAGATACATAATTGCAAAATACTCAGTACAAAAAACAGGGGAAACGCAACCAGGCCACAGCTGCACTTCAAATGTCTAGTGAGGACTGGGTTTATTGTCGGGGGAAATAGAGGAAGTATGGAACTATTTTTTGTTTATTTAATTTCATAGAATCACAGAATGGTTTGTGTTGGAAGGGACCTTAAAAATCATCTAATTCCAAACCCCATGCCATGGGCAGGGACACCTTCCACTAGACCAGATTGCTCAACTGAAAACAAACAGTCCAGAAGGAAACAGGTGGTGAAGGACCAGTGGATGGTCTGAGAAGGACAATGCATAATCCAAAGAAGTTTAAGGAAGCATGTTAAGAAACAGAAGAAAATACAAAGGAAGCCAGAGGAGGACTTTACTCTGGGACTTGCAGTGCTTTAACTACCTACATCAAAGCTTTAAATCCTCTTTAACATAAAATGCTTGTTCTCAACTTTTACCTTTGCAAAACTAACTTAGGAAGCAGGAGGCTCACTAGGCCAGGTCACAGAGTCCCAAATTCAGACCCTTCATGCCTGTGGACACCGTGCCCACACCCTTTCCTCTCGGTCAACATCCCCTAAAGACAGGGACTGGCTGCAGACTGCCCTGACCAGGAGTTGCTGTAGCAGCGTTTGGCCAGGGTGCATTTCATGCTCCCCTGCTGCTCAGGGCACCTCATCCATTCTCCTGAGGCTCCAGTGCTCTGTGCCAGCTGTGAGCCCCCAACAAACACCACGGTCACCTGCAGGATAGATTAGTACTTGGCTCTGCTAATCCTGGCTGGGATGTCCTCTCTGTTGGTGGCACGTCCTCAGTCACATCAGCTGCTGACTTCAGCTCGCACCAGAACTCTAGAACCACACACAGGCAAGTCCTGACAATAACCTGACAGTTAGTTGATGCTGGGCAAGTACTACAATTTACCCCCAAGAGCAACAATCCTTAACTTCTCATCTGCCTAATAAACAACATTATAATGTGCTCCAAATTACTACAAAATGCTACATATTAAAATTTTAATCCCATTACTTCCCGCTTCCTTTTCTCTTAGGAGAAAAAGGTTGACCTGAATATTACATCTGCTGTTTGCTGCAAGCATCAAAGGATCTTCCACCAACATCTGGAAAGAGGATACAGTGACTTTTGGTCTCTCCCAGACTGTTGACTCATTTAAGCCTCATTGAAATTCAGAAGCTAAATCCATTTGCAAAAACATGATCATGAGCCATGAGAGAAGAGGGTGGGGGGAAATGCAGAGAGAAAACAGAAAGAGGAAAAGAAAATAACCAAAAAGGTACAGAGAAAACACAGAAAAAATATCATACATCCAGATAAAAGCTGGAGATGGATTTGAGGAAAAAAAAAATTGAAATCTGCATTTTGTAACTTGTGATTAACTCTGAGACTTATAATGTGGAATTTCTTCTTAATGCCCCTCCTGGAGGAAGGGAATGTAACTGGTCATGAAGTTCACACAGACTTATGTAAATACACATGCAAATAAGTTGTTTTCTTTGAGCTTCTGGCCAGTTGCCCCTGCAGGGGGTATCTGAGACTTAAAACTTTGCCCTGCCAGGATCAGGATACCAGAAATAGATCCAGAAAAGAAAATGGACCCTTCCTTCAAAGGGACTCAAGAGCACACAGGTCATTTGCACTCAGACAGTGTGCAGTGCTCCCACCTCACCCATGGGAAGAGACAGAGCCATCTCAGCAAGCACAAGGATAACAGATGCAAGTGGGATGGTGCTACAAAGCCACCCTACACCTTGAGGGAAAGAGGAAATACCTACAGCTGACCCTGCAAGCTATCAGGAAAGAGGAACCGATGGGGTGGGGAGTGGGGGAAAGTGGAAGTGGCTGCTGTCCCAGTGATTTCTTGGTAACCAACCCCTCTTCCCCTTAGGCAAGGAAAGGTGGCCAATCTTCAGGAGGGTCAGGAGCAGCCAAAGAACCAAGGGAACTACCTTCACACTCTCAGACACACAAAGCCACCTCTGACAGCTCCAGAAACTGTCACTCAATGTCCGTTTTCAGACATAAAAATAAAGGATTTTTTTTTAAAGGCACTCAAGTTTCCATTTTCCCAAAGGAAACAGGAAAATAACCCCAGTAGTAAATCTCTGCACAGACTCACCTAACTCCTGTGCAGGTCTTGCGTAAAAAGCGTGAGGAGGTTAGAAGGGATAGGTGGAAATAACATTTAGGTCAAGTTTAAGTAGGTTTAAGGAAGAAAATCTTTAAGTGGAACATCCCTCTCAAGCAGAGGATGCTGCGATGCCTGTGTAAATCACCAAGCTGCCAGCCTGAGGTGGGAGGGCTGGCCCCTTGCCGGGGCTGCCTCTCCCGCAGATAAAGGGTTTCCTCCCTGCTGCCTCTGCCCTGTAAAGCAGGTTTGCTCCCGGAGGGAGCTCTCTAAAAGCTCACAAAGCCTCTTGCACATAAACAAAGAGTAAATACCGTGGCTTAATGTTACTTACCTCAGAATATGCTGTTTGTTCTGCACAGAGATTTAGTTAACTACAAACACAAGCAAGGGGGCAGACTCTAAGGGCTGCCCTGCTGTCGTTTGGGTCAGAAAAACTAAAAAGACCTTAAATGTCTGATTATCTTTTCTGCTTTCTTAGTTTTGCCGTGGGGTGGGCAAGGGTGATGTGTAGGACTAATTGCGATCACTCAGCCAGGCAATCAGTTTATACAAAAGTGTTTGGATTTTCTGTAACTTTAAAAAAAACTATTCCTTCTCACAACACTTATTGCAAACTGTTGATTCTGTAGGATCTTCTGTACAAAAAAAAATACTATACTTTTATATTTTCCATTTGCCATCACAAAAATCTGAAAAATAATTTTTCAGTATCTTATAAATATATAGGATCCATTGTGTTAACCATTTCTTTTCATCTGTTAGTTAAGTGGCTGAACCATTTAAAAATGTAAATTATTAGAAGCATTTTTAAAAAAACATAGGAAACTTTAAAACCCTGCATTCACACAAAAACAGATGTGCGGGTCCAGAAGATGGGAAGACTTAATTAACAATGCTCACAATTAACAGGGTGACAAATACAGAACAAACATTACTTGGAATAGGGAAATGTTACTTACCAACCATTGCACTCACTTCTCCTGCCATCAGCAGTGGGACAGTGTTGTTGTACAGGTTAACATCAATGATACCTTTCCGAATTGTTTCTCCTACTTTTGCTCCCAGTAATACTGAGCCAGTGGTTTCAAAAACTGAAGCCAAAATGCAAGCCTGGCGTAAAGTAACAACACCAGAGCCCACGGCCGTTCCGAAAGAATTTGCAACATCATTCGCACCGACAGAAAAAGCTAAAATAAAAGCTATGATAAAACCCACAATGACCATCCACAGGTACTCATCCATTGCCATCTTTCCCCAAACTGCAGATTTGCTTCCCCTTTGCAAATAGTTAATAGTCAAGGCTGGAGGGCACCGCAACGGATTTGGAAAGCAGATTTCTTGTAAACAATGAGTTCTCTCTGGAAAGTGCTGGGTAGTGTTAGAATGTGAAGAAACTGCTAACTGCTGATTTTCGAACTACTATAAATACTGTTCATTTGGCTGCCTTCGGTCAGCAGTGAAACACATTCCATATTTTGCTTCCAAACTGGTAGGACTGAGATGTTCTGTCCTGCAACAGAGAAAAAAAAAAAAAAAAAAGAAAAAAGAAAAGAAAATTGAAAAAAAAAAAAGGGCAAATACTCAGCAGAGCTCAAAACAATGCATGTTTTCAGAAGTAAACAGATGATTTAAACCCACTAATGGGGTCCTACCTCAGCATGTGACTGCTCTAATCATAAAGCAATTCAGAAAAGATTCAAATTAGGTCACCTCCAAAGCAATATGTTTCTTGCAATATCACTGACTGAGAAAATCTTTTGAGCAATTTAAAAGGATTTAGAAAGTTCGAGAATCTTGTTTGTGTGGAATTTACCAAACAGAGCAATAAGCCCTCTTTCCAGCAGGAGGATTCCTCTTGGCTTTTTGCACCCAGTGAACATAAGACATATAGAGTACATAAACCATACTCCCAGCTGATATAGAACACCTAGCTCCACTGACCTCAGCAGAGCTCTCCACATTTTATCAGCTGCAGCCATGGATGTGCTCCTTTGAAAAATTATTTATATGCATGTCTAAGAAATACCATTGAAAATACTCTGAAGAACATTAATATTCATCTGTTCTTATCACATCCCATGCAGTAAGAATACAATTTCCTTACAGCTTTTCAGTCACTGAAACAGTACAATAATTTCAGTATTTCCATGAACCTCTACTGATTTAGAGAAGTCTATGAAAAAGGTGCCATGAAAACACTGAACTCTTTTTTTTCCTATAGATAGTTACCAATTACTAACAGTTATTATGTTCAAACTATTGTCACAGATATCTTTGAGTATTTATTTTGACAGTTTCAGTTTTATGACTGCCTTTTGAATTACATCTTTCTTAGTCCGATAAAAGAGTAAGCTCTTTCAAAGCAAGAAACGGACACAGAGAAAGGGAGTTTAAAAAATAAAACCTTCATCATCATCATCCAAAAGATTGTTAAATAGTGTGATAAGGCCCACAGTGACATGAAGATGGTCAAAAGCTAGAAGCACATTTTCCCAAACCACCTATCTCCTCCAAAGGTCAATTCTCTTCTGTTACTGGCCACCACAAAGACATCCTGTGGCCCTGTGGCAAGGGGTTAAACAAACATTTAGCAGCAAATATGCATCAGCCAACCTCTTCTAGTTCTAGAGAGCAGGGGATGTCAGATTAAAGCCCTGAGCCCACCTCATGCTCACTCTCTTTATCTCCCCACAGTCACTTCAATCTCATACAATATTCCCACATGCACAGTTTCAAGATCATGCTTAATTTCTTTCAATGACCCAAATGCAATTTGGGTCCTGCAGTAGCAAGGAGGAAGGGTCTCTGAAACCCCTGAAATAATAGCAAATTTAAAAATTAAAAGAGATTTTGCATACTCCTGAGATGCTGGATCCTTGAGAACGACCAAGAGGAAAATAAAACATTTATCCATAAGTGTTTCTTAGAACACTCTAAAATTGATGTCAAGGATTGATGCTTTCTCTACAGACATATATTCAGCAAAAAAAAAAAAAAAAAAGATGCCCCTCTTTTTTCCAGCAGGCTCCAAACTGGCTGAACAACTGTTACTTCAGTCTTTCCAGACATGGAGCAGACATCAATCTTTGAATGCCTTACACTCTAAAATATTCTAAAATAACATCTCAGAAGGTCTAAATGGCTAAAAACATTTGTATAAGGATTTTTATACTATGACATAACATGAGAAAACGAAGCACCAAAGCATGTTTTCTGTTGTTGCTTTTTTATAATTCATGAGTACTCAGCCCATTGAGTGGAAAAGGACTTGACAGAAACAGAAAAGGCTAATGATATTTGGAAGAAACAATTATAGTTAGCACTTGTTTGCCTGTGAATGAAGACAAAACCCCACTAAAAGCATTTGTTAAAAAAAATTCTATTATGCATGTCAGATTTTTGCTAGGAGATGAAGTACTGGACTAGAGTCGTTCCTTGATCCTGGAGATTAATGATTAAATTCTTCATCCTGCATGCATTTCCACAGTACCTTTGCCAAGTCAGCCTCAGTGCCCCAGTTTCTGTTCCTGAAAATGGGCAAAATGACTGAGGTCCATGCATGCATCCAGACTGTAATTATACAAGACCCATTTCTTTGGACCAGCTAGATAAAAGCACACCCTTATTCCCAACAGAAATCTGTCTTTTCTCCACTTATCAACCAACCTATCAATTTACTATGGTGACCCAAATCCTGGGACTGAAGGAAAGAGCAGGGTGATTGTGTCATTCCCCCACCAGAATTCATGGGACAATGTTTGCCAAATCTGGCTCCTCCAGCCACAGCGAGTTCTTGCAGTGTCCAAAATAAACCACTAAGTCACAAGGTTGCCTTTATTAGCTTCCCTGGGAGAGGGTGGGGTGAACTCCTCCAGATGGTCCCAAAGAAATTAAAACTTCAAGTGTGCATATGTGTGCTCCTAAATTGCCTCACGAAGGCCAAAGAGTCTCCAGGAGACTGTCAGCAGGGCTTTTGGCAAAGGGCTCAGAGAGGCAGCTACATAAACTCCCTCCCTGTGAAATAGGATATATGGCCTCCAGAGAAAAGGATGTTTTAAGTAAGAAATCACCCCTCCTGTCATTTTATGCAAGGTGATGGTTCAAAACAGAGCGTCCTCCAAAACCTGAGAGGCTAAACTTGATGTCCACTGTGTTGGCACAAGCAACAGCACAGCAGCAGCCAAGCTGTGTCTTTAACAAATGGAAATCAAAAGGAAAAAAGGAATAAACACATTTTTAAAAATTAATATGTAGGCTGCCTTTGAATGGCTAGGAGTTACTACTTTCAACCTTAAAATACAGTAAGGGATTTTAAATGCTTACCAAAAAAAAAAAAAAAAAAAAAAAAAAAAAGGCACATCTCTGCTGAGAAAGTTTTCAGAAATGCAAAATATCCTGCAAAGCAGGCCAGCGACTAAATACAGACTAAATCTTGTAGCATGCTTCTTTCTAGAGCCCAAAATACATTTGGCATGCTCAGACACGCTGAACTATGCCCCATATCACCTAATGTAACCCAAGAGCCTGTGGTGTTTCATGCTGTTACTGGGATGAAAAAGAAACTGGAAAAAACACCATGCAGGAGGGAATAGCAGGTGATCTGCTCCATGTGTGACACCTGGAAGTCACCAGCCTGTGTCTCTCCTGTTCTCACTTATATTTCATCAACGTGCCTCTATGCAATTCCACCTGACCTGCTGGATGCTGGGAGATCTTCCCAGTTACCTCTGCGACTGATACCTGCTCTGCATTCAGGTGTGCTGTGCTACCACAGCAGACTCCGGATGGAAAGTACATTTTCCTATTTAGGCTTTGGCTAACTCTTCCTGAACCAGCCCAACCTGTTCACTGTTCTGCCATGCTGCAAAACTCACACTTGGCCATTAGCAGGGCAGAGGAATTGTGTTAGGACCAGGAGCTGCAGGACCTGAAGCTGGAGCGTGCATCTCTAATGACCGGAGAGAAATGCATAGAGACGGCATTTCAAGCTGGAAGAAGCTAATTCTGCATTAAGGCAAGTTTTTTTTAGCTAACAGAGTTTTCTTATGGTCCACAGTCGGTGTACCATACTTACAAGGTTCGAGCTGAAGCTTTTTAAGTGGAATTAGAAACTTGCACCTCAGCGAGAAAAATTTGATATTTGGAAATGCTCAGCACATCCCTCTGCCTCACTGGCAGATGATCCAGACACCCCCCTCAGACTGTATTTTGTTGTTCACTAAACAGCTTGTTATAACTCTGTCAACACAGAGTGCTATTTTTTCCCTACGGGAGAGATGAGAACAAAATCTAAGGAAAAAAAGCATCTCGATTCATGCACAATGACAAGTGAATCCTCAGGAAAAAGTTAGGATTTCATGGTAAGCATGAGATCACTTTAGGACATGTTTATATATGGACATTTACTAAGACAGGTCTCCTGGAAGCTATTCATGGTACACTACTAAGCCTAGACAATTTTTAATGAAAAAAATAATACTAAATTTGAAAATCAGAGGTGCCAGGGTTTAGGGATTTTTGGTTTTGCTAAACAAATTGCTGCTAAAGAGAACAGAGACGTATCTAACAGCAGGAATGAATGGATAAATAAAAGCTCAGTACTAAGTTCAAATTCTAAGGAAGTAATCAGAGTGCATTACCCTCCAGCAATCCGACTATGTGACATGAAGGAACAGAGATCCCATAAAAGTCCTTCAATCTTCTCTTCACCCAAAGTTAGGGAAGAACCTACAGCACTTGTGAAGCACTGAAAGGTATGCAGCTCATACCAGCTGCATGCAGCTCTCATACTCTCAGAAGTTGCCCCATGCTGCAGTTGAAAATTTTATTCTGCTCTGGATGGGACAGAGATTCTGCAACATCCCAGTTTTAACCGATTTGTTGCTGCCCAAATATGAGCAAAAATCAAAGGATAGCAGCTAGTGTAGCATTTCCCAAAATAATTTTTATGACTACTCCGCCTTGCATTATGTCAAGGCAGACAAGGAAGGACAATTTCTTTTCCTCTGCCGTGGTGAAAGCAGTAGATGTTTAATGATTGACAGCGGCACTGGATTTGTACTGACAGGCAGGTTCACTTCTAGTTTCCAGTGGCGGAAAAGTCTGTCTAAAATGCTTACCAGACAGCAGCTTCTGGGAGCTTAGTCCATATCCTCTGTACTTCTGTCTGTTGCTTTTTATATAAAACTGCTCTGTCAGGTTCCCACCTATGTGTATAAACTCAGGCCAGATCCGGCATTCCAGTCTGCGGGTACTGAACGCAGCACTGCATAGAAACCAAGCCTGGTTTATAACCAGAGCTACTAACATCACTCTTATCAATAGTTCTTATCATTTCCAGTTCATGCTCAGGCCACAAGGCTCACAAATTATTTACTTTAAATTACTAATGCTACATTCATGATATGAAAGGTGGTATTGAATCAAGTGGTTCAAGACCAAGAACATCCCTATATGGCTCTAAATTACATGCACAGGACTTGTCACAAGGCCAAACATTATGCAAGTTCAATGCTCCAGTACACAAAAAGCACTCTGAACTTACTATTTTAAAAAAATTCAATTACCACATCAGCAGAAGCAGGTTTTGTATCAATCAGTTCCTATTTTAACACATTCACAATGTGTTTAAGCATACTTCATCCTACTACTTGATATGGAAACAAGACTGAAGTTGATAGCTTTCCAAGGATTCCCGTCCAGTTTAACAGTGCAGAGAGGGACTGTCACTGTCAGCTCCCAAAACTTCCAGAGGATGCTTCCTTTTCCTAGTCCCTATCAACCTTCTGTTTCCACCACTGAAAGGTCACAAATGGATATAAAATATCTAGCATGAGATTTTGCTGCTGAAAACATTCACTAAAAACACAGACAGCAGTCATTTTAAGCAATTCTACAAACAAGTAAGAAGGTGAAGTATCAACAAATTCTCATGCACTTGCTGATAAATATATTTTTCTCTAACTAATTGTCTAAAAGGACAATTTTATCCTTCAGTGACTGAACAAAGTCTTTCTAATAGGCAAGTAGTTTTTATGACTCAATACTAGAGATTTTCAAGATCCATTCAGAGAAAACAAGTGTTCATGGTTACAAAAAACATGTTTTATAAAAGAAAGCCATGCAGAGAAGTCTTTAAAACTCACCCAGTATTTAAAAGTTTTTTCAGGAGAAAAATGAGCTAAGTTCTTCTAGCAACCTTCCCTCCTTATCAGAAATACAGGTTGAAGTCTAAAATAGACATCCTATCATTCAGCACAGTCACATCTGAACATGCAAACTTTCAGAGGGTAGAAAGAGGGCTGTAACTTACACCAGGCAGTCCGGGGATAAAATTCACTCCGGCACAGGAGAGCACATAAGACAACACTGAGAAGCATCAATGCGAGTCCAGATTCTTATTCAGTAGGTGAAAATCTGCCTCCTCTTAAGCAAAGAATTCTGCTGGGGGTGGGCACTGATAAAACACAACACTGCGTCACGGCTGCACCAGAGAGACAAACCAATCCAATGAAGCTCGTATTAAAAGCAACAAAACGTTCCCTTCCCCCCTCCCCACCCCCAGGCATAGGCATAGACAAGAAAGGAAATCTCATTTTTGACTGTCAGTTGGGCGTTTTGTTGAGATCAGGTAATCTCTGAGGAGTCTCAAATCTTCTATTTGCAAGCACACTTAAATGCACTTTTAATTCAAGTGCATGTGACAGCAGGGTATATACATCCAATTTGGGAATGATGTTGCTTGCATGCTTGCTACTTTATCCATGTCAGCAGAGGTCCCACAGGCTACACAGACTGCAGAAAGTTAAAGATGTGCACAAGTTTTGACTGGATCCATGCCTAAGCAAACAACTTCACTTTCAACAGTTCGGCCTAAATTACCCAATCCAGATTCCTTCAACCGCTTTCCTTTAAGTGGGAAACATTTTTGCACATAAGTCAAGGCAAAACTAATGTTTGCCTAAAAGTACCCAGCTTAGCTTTATATAAAATAATCACTTTAAGACAATATAATGCATTTAAGGTATCATATTCAGCAAAAAGGAATTAAAATCAAAATTGCATTGTCACAGTTAAAAATCTGACTAACAAAAATTTATTTGGACACATTTATGGTTTATGAATTTATCTGCTAGGTTTTACTCCATTCTGAGTCACTGAAATGTGTGTAATGCTATTACAACTTAATATAATTAAATCTGTAAATTTTCTGCATTTTGAACATTTGAGAAAAACCAAATCAATTCAGATTTGTAAACACAGACTTGGAAACATAATCCTTTCCTGAGCTATTTTTTCAAGCTTGAATAAAGAATATTTCCTATCAAGAAGTCAAAAATTTTCTGAATTGGTTAAATTCAGCTGCGCATCTGCAGGGCTTATTTCGTAAAACTGAAAGTGTTTTACATTTCTTAAGAAAACTCACATGGATTAGCAAGCCTACATCGCCGTCTAAAAAGAATTAGGGCAAAATTCCAACTAGAAATCTGCAATGAAGAAATTACATTAAAATTCCCCCACCAAAAAAAAAAAAAATTATATCTATTGGGCCATGATTATTTTTAAGGTCTATACCCAACTACAATTAAGTCTGCAAAACAGCTGCTACCTTTATGAAAAGCTACATCTCTCAAGTCTGGTTGTGATGTCTTTCCTTTTGCTTCTGTAATAGCTGGCAAACACGCTTCCAGTTTTTAGAAAACTGAGAAGCTATGACTTTCACAGTGGTTTTCTCTTATGGACAAAAGCAACATATTTTATAAAGCATGTTAATGTTTTCCTGCAGATTATATGTTTTAATAACCTTTTTTTACTTTTTTTTTCTAACAAGTAGCATCAATCAATTCAAGTGAGAGCAACCATAATCGTAAACATTAAGTGAGCTTGTATTTATAGATCTGGATTCCAAAGTTTTAAGGAAGTGAATAAATAAGCACAGAAACTTCTTCTAGCACTTGTTTAACTTTATAAAGTAAAAAAAAGAGAAAAGAAATTGCAAAATATTATTCCATGTTCTCTTTACAGCTGATGTCTGCCTCCAACCCGGACAGCCCCGGTAAGCATTAAATCCATCCTAATTCTCCTTCAGAGAATTAGGATGGCCCATTCCCCCAGCCTAGAGAAACCACCACCAGCGTGCAGGTAAAAACACTGCCGAGGGGACATGTCATTTGAGAGGTATCTATTTCAATTTCAAACCTCAGAAGCTGCTGGCCTGACCTGTGGGAAGCATCTCAGACCCAGGAGAGCTGCAAACTGGAACCATTTGAGTGCTGCTTCCCACGAGCCAGCCTGGCCACAATGGTGGTTTCTTGTTGACCTAAGCTTCAGAGCTCGGTCTACACGCAAAGCAAAGGATATAATAAACAGCACAGAGAAAAGGAAATATCTTCAAAGTTTTTGTTCTGCTACATCAGCATTGTGGACTTCAGGCATGGGAAAATTCAAGCCAAGATAGGTTGACCATTAGAAAGAGTTATAATTTGGGACACCACTAAAGAAGCAAGCAAAGGAAAATTTATAAGACCACAGAATAAATTACAAGGATTGGTTTTTGGAAATGGCAGCACCAGTTTGGTTCCCATCAAATCAAACATTTGTAGAAATTATAAATTACAATCTCGATCAGATATCATAATTTGGTTTTAATTGTAATTTATTTTGGTAAATCCACAATTGATAGATTCTTGTTTTATTTAACAAACTTATATCAGGCAGATTTACATTCAGGTTTAAATAATGTAATATGACAAGCCAATTTAAATATTTAATTTTAAACCCCGTTTGTTTTGCATTTCTGCATTAGCTATTTTCTGAAAAATGCCCAGGTTCTCATCTCCCATTGACCACTAAAATGAAGTTAATTTTGCAACTAAGGGTAACTTTTATATCAAATGTAACTGGCCTTTTTTGCCATTCAGGTTGGAAGGCTACATTATTATTGTAAATTTTTATTCATATTTTAAAACACATACATTTTGAGTAGAAAATAATGGAGGATGAGTAGAATTTTCTAACATAAAACCCCATAAGAATTGGAACCTGAATGCCTGTAAAATGCATTTACTCAGGAACAGAAATACAACAAAAACACCCAAAAGCTGCAAGGTTAGTGACCAGCTAGAAGAGCTTCTGGGCTCTCACATACCTGCTGGTACCCTAAAACTGGGAGCCATAAGCACCTGGGGACCCTGACCCTGCCTGGGAACCCTTAATCCCCCTCAGTCTATAAACAAAGAAAAAAAAATTAATTAGGAGGCATGAAAATGGGTGGCACATGGCAGCCCACTGCACCTTGAAGAAATCTCCAGCCCTCTTCTTTCTCGTACTGAAGGCCTCCATGACCATCTCCACCATGGGAGCCTTGAAGCCAATCATTACCTGGAAATCAGCCCTGAGGTCCTTCAGACTAACAGAGATTTAACCAAACCTGCTCTACCAAACACAGCACCTCTTCTTGGAGCTCTGGTAGTTCTATTATGCTCAATGAATACCAACAAAACTCTGAGCATCTGCTCTGCAGAGAGCTGAAACACAGTTTAAGTTTAAAAGAGCCAATGAAAGCACATTTGCTTTTGCATATTGGATAGCAAGTTCTGAAACATTCTGTTATCTATCAGGATAATGTCCAAAAGAGATGCATCCATGTTTCACTGCAAGAAAACCATCTCAGGGACTCTTTGGAAAGTTTAATGCAGTAGACATAAAAATTAAGAAGTCATTTAGCATTCAGGGATGGAGCAACTCCTCTACTCTAAGGAATCAAATCCCTCGGATGGGCTTTCTTGATGGCTCTGAACTCTGTCACCCTGTCATCCAAACATTTTTTTTTTCCAGCAAGCTTGTGGCCTCTCAAAGAGGACATGCCACCCCAGTCAGGGGACTTCCATTCCCAGTGGTCGAGGTGATTTAGCTGTGCTTGCACAGGCATGCATGGAGAGCTGCCATGTTACAGCATGTGACTCTGCTTGAGATCACACTTGTCTACTGAGTGAGCCAGTCCTGGGAAATGAAAGGGAGGAACCCACAAGTAGAATTGCTGGAGGCCAAGGTTGGCACAGAAGAGGATGACACAGGCTCCGGGTGCTGTGTGGCCTGGGAGAGCCACGCTGACTCCAACCCCTACCACAGCACAAGCCCGTGTCAAGCCAGGAGGAGTTCAAAGGCAGCAAAGCAATTCTGAAGGGGCAAGGCTTTGGCCAGCGCTGACTCAAGCACTGCCCCAGTTAACACTGGGAACTGGACTTGGATCACCTGTGACTCCAGCCGACTGACCAGAGACCAGGGCACACCCATGACCATGCTAAGACCAAGGAAAAGTGTGACCTTCAGAGCCGCCCTGAGCCTTATCTTCCCCTCCTCAGACCCATATCCAAAAAGAACCAATCAACATGGGCACAATACTATAAAAGCTGGCTACTGTTCACAGCTCAAGGAGCATTATCCTGACATACTAACGGACCTGTACCGACTTTACACAGAACATAAAAACTGCCCACGAAACACTCCTGTGGCAATCCAAAAATATGCATTTTGCAAATTCAGAGGCTTATGCAAAGATGCACTTGGTGAAAAGCCAGAGTGTGGTTGCCAAAAGTCAACAATGCAAATTTTTCAGATAAAGGAAACCTGACACGTCCAGCCCCAGATTGCCTGCCATTTCCATTTCAGCTTGGGTTTCAGAGAACAACCACTGTGGAGCCTTCTGTTTGAGCCAGAAGAGATGGCTGGAGCTCCCTTGAGTCCAGCAACCCCTTCTCTTCAAACAGAGCTGGAATGAGTGAGTAGCTATCAACATGCCAAACCACACCGGCTGGCTCTCACTGCCAACCTCCAAAATCGGTATGGCCCACGGGACAGAAGACCAAACACTCCTGAAATGATCTAGCTGAATGGAAAAAGGAGGAAAGGACCAGGGGTATAACCAAACAGAGGAGGGATGACACTCACAGAGGTGTCTACCACAGAGGTGCCAACCAGGGTTATGGTGGTAAATGGAAGTAGATGAGACCAATACACTCTGACAATGAAAATTTTGCTGGTTTTTTTTTTGTTTTTTTTTTTTCCCTATGAGCATTGCAGTAATAGAGATAAAGGGGGAAACAGCAAAGTTGTGACCTTGGCTTCCTTTCAGAGGAATTGGAGCCAATCTTATGCTGCCTGGTGACCATGCAAAGCATGGCATCTGCCAATTAATAGACCTGTTGCCTCCTCAAAGCCCAATAGCTGCTGATCTCTGTTCTTGAGTCCATGTAATATCCACATCTGTCTCCTGCAGCCTTTGCTGCTAGAGGCATGAGAAGCATGATGGTGAAGCAAATACCTTGAGTTCCACCTACCAGGCAGCGTTAACGTCCTGGTAGCTTCACCATAGGTTGACAATACTACTGAAGCAAAGAAGTGGCCAAAAGACTTGTCACATGGGCTACAGATTAAATCACTGTCAATGCAATGTGCCAAGAGTGTCCCACAGGGTTCTTGGCTTAGCAAACACCTCCAAGAGGACTTACTAAGGGTGTGTGGTCATATGAAGCAGGTCGAGAAAAGTTAGGCTTTATCTCTCATGGAAGGCCAGGGAGCAAACCCAGTAGTCCAGTGCCAATGTCCAAGTGGAGTGCAAAGGGTCTTCCTAAAGGTTTGGGCAAGATAACAGGACACACGGACTGTATTCATCTTCTGAAAGAGCTTGAACAACTAAAATTTCTCTGCTTGACACACAGGCTGTAGGGAAGAGGAAGTTATTAGGCAGCAGAATGTATTTGAGTACTTGGCCTCAGCAAACAGGGCCAGTGGCTACTGTGCCTCATCCTCAGGAGAAGGCACTCCCAGCTAAGCCACGATGATGACAGTGATGCATTTCAGAAGCCCGATGGCTGCCGAGACTAGAAAAGATAGAATAGATGCTGCTGAGGTCAGGAATAGCAAAGCGGATTCCATGAGGAACCCTCCCCTCTTCCCTGCCTTGGTGTGAGGACCAGAGAACCTGCTCTGGTGTGAGAACCAGAGCTAGTCATGCCAGGATCCTGCTATGGCCACCATGGCTCAAGCTGGGGCTTCTCTAGACTGCATCTTCCTTGCAGAAAATGACCAGCAAAAAAATGAGAGTGGCCCAGGCTGACACTGACACAGGCCTCTCTGCTCCACTCAAGCACTGTGAGAAGAGCCACATCACTCCAAGGAAGGGTGCAAATTCCAGAATTAGCTGAAAAAATCAAACAGAGAATGAGAATAACCCCCAAAACCAAATAAAATTTAGACTATGGCAGCCACACATGACAATCACACCATGTCAAGATTCCTCTGAAATAAAGAACATGCAGAGCACATTTCTTGCAAGACCTGGAATCACTGTCATCCTGATAAGGAAAATTTACCCACTGTTATCCATAAAACAAATGTGCAAGTAGATAATCATATAAACAAAGAACCCTGAATACACAGGCAAAAAGAGTATAAAGTATTTTTTCCTTTAAGGAAGTAATCAAGGAATCTATAATTAATTAAAAAATGGTTTCTTGTCACCAAGACCTTCAGAAGTCACATAAATCATTTCCTCTTCCATCTCTTCTACACATAAACTAAAAAGGGAAAAATCAATTATGCCGTTTCTTCAACTATCAATCAGTTCCTCCCCTTTGAATTAAGAAGATCTTTAATTAAATCAAATTAATAAAATTATGTGAGGAAAAGAGTTGCTCTGAAACAGTAGGATACATTACTCCCAAATCAGGCCTAATATTTCAATCAACAATGTCTCCAAGCCTTTAACCAGATATCTTTCACAATTTGATTTTTTCTTTAAAACTTCAGCAGACATGAAGATATCTTAATCACTTAATTTAATACTAATGAATAAATAGATTACAATAAATTTGGGCTATATTACAAGTTTGTTTCTTTCAAATCCATAGTACTATGGTTTTACAAGAAAAATAATCCTTTTCAGTTTAAAAATTCCTCAGTTAAGCAAAAAGTATTTTCCATTCTCTAAAGTAATCCAGAACCTGGACTGTATTGTTCACTAATGTACTTTCCATCTGGGATACACTGGTGCACTAATCATATGTGAAATTCAGGGGTGCAGAAGACCATTCTATATCTACTTGCAAACACTATCATCAATTACTGAAAAAACTATTTAAAATTGGGAAAAAAAATGCAAACTCATCCTCTGGCTACTCTAATCCCAGGATTCTATTTTGACTGAGATTCTCTAGGTTTTATTCAGAAAACAGATTAATTGCACAAACTCAAATGCACAGTTCTCCATCAATAAAGTCTTCCACAAGAACATGCAGGAACCCACACTGAGTGTGCCTCATGGGCAAACACTATGAAAGAAGTAATGCTGGGAGAAACACTAGGTGAACACAGAGGTACAGGTAACACGAAGAAAACAAATGTGCAGATTTACTTGTTCCAGTCAACAACAGCAGCTAAAGTTTATTGATTTCAGTTTCAGCAGCTAAAAATCCATTAAACATTCTTATATGATACAGACAATACTATCCCATATTCAAATTTCTATCAAAGTAATAAAATAGGCTAGGATTTTCCCACAGTCATTGCAATTTACTTATCAATTAGTACAATAAAACCTATTATAAAATGTAAATATCATAAAGTGCAAGTAGTTTTTGTATCCCATTGTGATGTAGCAGCTCAAGTATATGGAAATATCTAAGTAAAGAGACTGAAAAAATGTAACTGGAAAAACATAACTACAAAAATAGCTGGACACATTCTCAGCCACTGTCTCTCAACTATTCCCTTTATATTCACTGTAAAACTATTTCCAACACACTAATCACATCTATTCGGAAGAAACTAAAATTATATGATTTCAAACTATTTTCATTTTAAAAAATAGTCCTTTAACAACTGCTTTTACTCTTCTATCTAATTATATACTCTTAAAGGCCAAATATTCAGTCAGTATACAAAAATAACCATAGTCTTTTATTAAGTATAAGACACACACCAGATAGGAGTTCATAAGAAAAATAAAGATGCTCTTTGCCTGCCACTACCAGCAATACTTTTCAATAGAGGAAAACACATTTACTTTTAAAATTTTTAATACATATACACCAAAGTCTTAATAACTTTGTATCAGAGACTTACTACAATCAAATCTGTTCACAGCATCATTAAGTTGTTGGACTGCATGGCCAGCATTTCCTTCAAGATACTTCACGGCTCAGCCAAAATGTTCAAAAAACTATCTCTCCAAAAAGCTCTCTCCTAACTCAATACTAAGTAATCTGCACTTGTAACTCCACAACCCTGCCAAGAAATCTTACCTAGAACATTTTTCTAACCAACAGTCAGATAGAAAAGATAAAATTGATTAATACTTGATTCTGGCATCTGTCTAAGGACACCATGAGAACAATACATTATAAGGTTACTCAAATTAGAGTGCTAGCACTATTTTTTCTTTTACCTATGCACCTGTCGTCATACTTTCTATGCAAAGGGTGTTTATTACATGCAAGCAAAACCCCTAACTTCCTACTTTGTAATGGTCTGAGCTTATCCATATTCAATGTATGTTTCAAAAAAAAAAGCCCCAAATTGATTTCAAGTACAAAGCAGCAGCTATCTCATCCACAAATAAAAACTACAGCGATGTTCTGCTCTTCCTAAAACAAGCTTGAAGCCATGATTATATTAAAGACACAGATGTGAGGGGATTTTTCAACTTCCAAACAGACATGCAAACAAAGTATTACAGTTCAGGGGTGCAGGTAAATGAATAAGCAAGAAAACTACGTGACGTTTGTGCAGCGTCCTCTCAAATCCTGCAATCCCTTCTAGAAAGTCTGGGTCTACATCTCCCTCTTCTTTACTCATGTTCTTCTCGCATGGCTTGGTCTCAGAAACTTTCCATGCCTGTAACGGAAACTTGAGCCAACTTCTTAAATGTATGATTTCTTCATCTCCACTCATCATCCACTTCTGTTTCTGAGAAGCTCCTCATCATGACACCTGTATCTCAAGAAGCAAAACAGGAAACATCACAGGGATGAAGCAATGAAAGATGAATAATAATATGCCTCTGTGTCTTTAATAAAATCCCAACTTTCATTCAAGTTCCTTTTAGGAAATCAGAGTTCCTTTCACAAGTGCGAAGCTTACAAATGCAAGCATCGTGTGCCAAAAACGAGGTAACCAATGCAATCTCCCAATCTGCACCTCTGATCCTGACACGATGAGCAGGAGAAATCCTGTACCAGCTAGCTTTACATACTATGGAAAATATGACCGGGTGCCAAGCT